AGAGAAGAAAACCATTCAGATGGAAGGGCATAGATAGAGAGGGACATTCGGGAAAGAATGGGTAACCTCGGAAAAAATCTATATCCAATTCACTTCTTCTCCTTTGTGTGATCGCTCCGTTTCTCGTCGTCTACTATTTTCCCATCCCTTCACCATACACATAAGTGAGTGACAAAAAAAAAAACAATCATCATCCCTTCGCTTCCGCTGCCATGATCAGATCTCTCCCTCTTTTTTTTTCTTTTTTTTTTTTTCGGGCATTCGTCAACTTACCTGCACATCAGATCAGACAAACAAATTCAAAACCAACACAATGCAAACCCATTCTCATGTCAGACTCTCGTTCACACGCGCATGTAAACATCTCCTCTACCCTTTTCAATGAACGCTCAAAGAACAGGGTCAAGCAAGTGTGGGTTCACACAGGTGTGAAGAGGACTGAGTCAGGCTAACTGACCTTGAGTGAAGCTCAACCAAAGATAGCAAACGGCCCACTCAAGAAAGCCGTATAAACACATTCCAAACGAGAAGATCGCCGCAGTAGACTGTCAGAAAAGTGATCCACACCCCTCCCTCAAGGATCGCCCACTAACACGCAATCCCCTCAGTGCCTCAGCGCTATCACCACTAGCTACCCGTACCACTACGTCACCACTATGTCGAGGCGTCGCCGCCTGCAATATGCGGACAGCATGACATCATCACCACCTCAAAGCACACCCCCTCTTGATGATACTCCTCAAAATCGTTGTTGGGGCCGTAAAACCGGACAGCACAACCACACCACCACTAAAAGAAACACGGTTGTTGCCGCAAAATTTCGGCAGCGCTTCCGCGTCACCGCCGAAAAAGCATAGCCGCCGCCGCAAAATTTCGGCAGCGCTTCCGCACTACAGTAGATACACCCGCTGTCGTCGCCGCGCTGAACGAACAGCACCTCCCCTGCACTCCACCGGGTGCAGCGACGGCTATGGCTGCCCTCACTCTCGTGCTCCCTGCAGACCTCCAACACTTCTCTCTCTCTCTTCACCTCGTTGAGATGGCGGCTATGGCTGTGTTCCACAGCTATGGCCACCTCCAACAGTCATCCCCTCTCTCTTTTGCAGGCCTCCACTCAGCTCCTTCTCACTCCACCAGCAGCTCCTCCTCCAGCAGCCAGCATTCACCCAAGCGTAATGCCAGCAGCACCAGCCACAAATGAATGCTGGTTGGCTGGCTGCTGGCTTGTTTTACAGCTGGCTGGAGGCTGTGGGCAGCTGCTTTACCCCCAGCCATAACTCGAAGTGAGGCCTGGCCCTTGATCTCAGACGAGATCAAGGGCTTAGAAACTCGATGTTCCCCTAAGGGAACCAAGTTTCTGGCCTTGGTAATGCATCTGGCGGCCACCCCCGGCCAGGCGCAGCCTTAACTGGCCGTATAGAGGCAGGTAGAGCAGACTGTTGAAGTTCAACAGTCTGCAGTCACCTCAGGATCCAGATGCTTCTACTGCTGCATCTGGTCTTGCATCATGAATAAATTCGCGACTCCCTTTTTTTTTTTTCTTTCCCCAACCCTTTTCTTTCCTTCCTTTCTCCCCTCTGCACCTCTTCATAGGGTGCCCGCACCTAGGCACAAGTAGTGCCAGGTTCGGGCGGCCTTTGGACAGCTGCTGCCTGTTTTACGAGCAGGCGCAACTGTTCACGACCAAGGGGGAAAATAAAATTTTAAAGGAAATAACAAAAAGGGAAAAAACAAGAAAAGAACGGAAAAAAAAAAAAAAAAGAACAACTCTAACCTACCTTGCCTGTATGCAGCCTCTTAAGGGGTGCATACCCTCGCGCTTGTATCCGCTGATGGCGGTCGGGGCACAGCCCCCTGATGAGTCGGTGCAAGTCCGACGAAACGACCAAGCAGTCACTTCCTCCCCTTTCTCTCTCTGGGACCCCTTCATCACGCCTGTATACAGCCGCATTCGTGCGACTGATTCAGTCGTCTCTGCCATACAGCCGATGGCTGTTGAGGTCCAACCTCCTGGTGAGTCGGAGGAACCCCGACGAAACAGTTTGGCACAGTTTGCATTTGCCCGTTCGTTTGAAACGAACGGGTACTAAAAAGAAAAAAAGAAAAGAAAACAAAAATTTAAACCAAATCTTAAAAGGGAAATCTTAAAAATCTAAGCAAAATCTAACAAAGGAAAAAACCCAGAAAAGAAAGAAAAAAAGGAAAAACCTACCTTAACGTGGCTGCCCGTTTCCAACGGGCGCCTGCAGCACTACTGGGAACCTCTGAGTTCCCAGTCACTTCAATGCGCGCCAGCTGGCGCGCCAGATTTTAGTTCATTAGGTTTTTTTGTTTTTTTTCCTTATATTATTTTCTTTTCCAACGGCTACACCCCCCCCCTACGCGTCATTTCGGCCAAGTGGCCCCAAAAAAAAAAAAACAGACAAAACAAAAAAAAGGAGGAACGGAGGTAGCACAAAAGGTGCAACCAAGACAGCAGGGTCATGGAGTGGAAGTGGTTTAGGGCGAAAGTCACGGGACTACCAGTAGCAGTGCCTCGAGAAACAGTGAGAGTGCGACGAGAGGTAGTGGGAACTCTACTGGCGTGGAGGTAAGAGAGACCTGGTAAAGAGCAAACTAGAGTTGTATCCATTGGGTGCATGGTGGGAAACCCGTCTAGGCAACAAAGGCTCTTTACAGCGCTTTGGACAGTGATGATGAGAGGGCAGCCTTGATACTGACGAGGGACTAGCTGTTATTGGGTGGAGGTCTACAAAGTTGGGTGTTATCTATATTTTTGGCTATAATTACTAGGGATTTTTGTGGAAAATATTGACCTCGTTTTTGCTGTTTTCTAGGCAAGAATAACCTTTGTGCTGTTGTGTTTCTGGCCGTATTTTGTGATGTAATGTAAAGAGTTCGGATACAATAACGGGCTGTAGTATTGTGGGCGTAGGAATTTAGTTTATTTTTTGGTAATAGTCTATTCTTTGGTAATATTGACCTCGTTTTTTGGGTTATTTTCTAGGTTAGCATAATCTCTGTGCTGCTGTTTTTCGGTCGTATTTAGGGCACTGTCACTCTTAGTGTTTCGTTGTTAGAAACATGTAATCGTGGTGGGAAACCCGTCTCGGCAGCTCAGGCTATTTTCAACGTATTGAGTAGTAAGGATGAGAAGCTTACCCGGACAGAAT